ATGATTATTTCTAATCACTGGCATCTGAGATTGTTTGAGAATTAAGGTAATTCCATTTGCAACACACCTTCAAATTCATATAAAGAACAAAGCACATGAGTCATGCCCCAAGCTATCTGACCCAAAGAAAGGAAGCATTTCCACATGAATATTATTCTGAGTTCAGAGCTGAATATTATCCTGAGTTCAGAGCTGAAGCACCCACAAGTCTTCTATAAGCTAAGTTGTACCAGCGTATTCAGGTGGCAACAAAAATTATGTAACTTCCCCTGCAGCCAGTTCCTGATCTCTTTATATACCACCTCTTGTCTTCCATGCTCACAACCAACCTCAGGATGGCCAACAAAGACGAGGACCCATTGGGAATGAGTTTCTGTTGAACGACTGTATACAATGTACCAGGAAATGCACACAGATCCTTCCATCTACATGAACCCATCTTCTTAACCGTATCAGTGTCCCAGTGACCTCGGAAAAGTCATCTCCAAGTCCTCTTGGGTCTCAGCTGGCTTCTCTGTAGAAGGAGGATTAAACAGAGTAATTTGCAAAGACCCTTCATGTGTCAACCACAGAAAGCCTGAGTCAGCGGGCTTTTGGCAATCTCTCTGAAAGTGCTTTCTTCTTAGTCAGTGTCCATCTCACACAGCCCAGGGTCAAAGCCAGAAGAAACCCAGCCAGAAGGAACTTGCAAAAACCCAGTGTCCAGTTGCCACATAGGAAGCCTCACTCTGAAGTATAAATCTCAGGGCCAACTTTTCTCATCATCTTCTGAACTGACACTCAGAAAAGAGCTTTCCTGTGCCACCCCGGGAAGGACAAAGGCACAGCATCTTTGACAAAGCTTGTGAAACCCAGGACTGTGAGCAGTTCCTAACCCCTTTGCTCTCATGGCACTCTGCCCCTCCCCAAGCATCCTGAAAGCTATGAGAAGAGCTGAGTAGGCCACAGTTAAGCATGACAACAGCTGCCACCGGTCTCTGCCAAAGCCCAGGCGCAGCCCCCCATGTCTTTCACCCATGTCTTTTTCCCAAGCTTCTCCTCCAAGTATCTCTACTTCTCTCTCCTCTGTCTTTCCCCTTCCATGTGTCTCCACCACATGCCTCCATCAAGTAGTACCAGGGGATAAGTCGAAGCTAGAAAAACAAGAGAGAGTGCCCGCCTGCTGTCCATGTTATGTAGATCCACCTGGCTGCTCAGCTCCTCTCCTAGTTTCCAGTAGATGTCCTGCTCACGAAGTCCACTTCATGGCACACTGGAACTTGTAATACAAGGAGGCAGTGAGGTCAGGGAAAGCAGTGTGTCTATAACATGAATAGATGGAAGGAAATGAATGTGGGAGATTGTCTAGTTAAGTGGTTCTCAGCCACAGGTGATCTTTGTTACCTGTGGTTATCTGACAACATCTGGAGACTCTGGTTATCACAATGATGAGGTTGTTAACAGCATCTAGTGGGTAGAGGCCAGAGATGCTATGAGACACCTACCACACCTGGGAGAGTCCCAGCACAGAGAATGATCTGGTGCAGAGCTTGAGAAACCCTAATCTAGTTCATTGGTTTTAAAACTCTGCTCCTCCCTAGAGAAAGTGTGTAGTGTGTGTGTGTGTGTGTGTGTGTGTGTGTGTGTGTGTGTGTGTGTGTGTTAAATGTTTTGAGGTAGGCCTGCCCAAAGTTTAGCTTAGCTTGATCTAAGGACCACTTTGTGTGTCTATTTTTCCCTTTAAGTCCTTAAAGGATTTACATCCATCTCACTGTGGAAAAGATCGCACTGTAATGAGTTAAGCTGAAATTCCCCATGGGAGTCACATTTCTGAAAGACTCCAAGACTTGCTTGGTGCTGATACAAGGGAACCACCATATCAGAAGTTCCAGTTGTTAAGGGTCCTTTGACTTGGAAAACAGGAAATTGCATTATTAAATGATAATTTGGCCATGAAGTATTTTCCATAGGGACTAGTTTAATAAAAAAAGGATTCAATTTTGTGAACATTCTCTTTAGTGATTTAGAGACTGTCAAACAAGCCAACAGAAAGACGACCACATTGGTTGTCTATTGTTCTCTACTGCCATGCGGCAGTCTGGAAATGTGTCTGTGGATTAAACGTTAATCCGTGGATTAGAAAAATTTAATATCTAGGCTGGAAATTTGTCCATGCAAAGCCTACATTACCAAGCCATGGGGCTGCTGATTCAAATACAATACTGAATTTCATTTCTGCTTGCATCTCTACAGCAAGGCCATTTTATTTGCTAGATGATCTTTGCTTTCTCCCTGTCCTGGCACAAAACAAGCCCACCCCCAACCCTGGGGGCCGCTAGTCCCCACCACTGCTCCATCTACTGCTGGTACCCTTTCTAGAGAACTGAGTTTTAAAAGTTCATTGAATTTTGAAAGGTATGTGCAATAAATCTTAAGTGTCTAGTCTGATGACTGTGACAACTGTATACTATCACTCAGATCAAGATATGGACTATTTCCCATCCCAAGAATTTCCCCCTTGTTCTTTTCTAGTAAAGATACTTCCACTCTCTTCACCAATTGCAGTTTGGATTTATATCCTATTAGCTGTTTTTACCTGATCTGGAATGTCATATAAATGGGCTCACACAATATGTCCTCAGCTGAGTCTGACTTTTTTGTTCATTTCTGCCTACAACAATCAAGTAAGTCGCTGCCTACTTGTCGTTTGCTTTAGTAGTGTTCTATTACATTGGCTACCATTATAAATAATGCTACTGCAAATATTCTTACACAAAACTTTTTAACATATTTTTTATTGGGACATTCGTATAGGAGTGAAATTACTGGTTTATAATGGAATGTGGGTTTATTCTGATCTTGTAGGTTGATGGTCTAGCCTAACTCATTTATTATTATTATTATTATTGTTTAGTTCCTCAGAAGTGGATATTAGAAAACATCAGATCTCATTCTCTCCTTCACCCAGGTAATTCTTGACCATACTTGAGGTCCCGATTTGTATGTTACATAACAAGTCTTCCCTGAGTTCAGGAATTCACCAGATTCTCACTGCTAGGAGCACCCTTATCTTGCTACAGGGACCTGATATAATGGCATTGCTCTAGTCTCTGTCTCCCTTGTAGTCGCTAATACCCATGTGGGAATATTGTCTGTGTGGTCACTATTGATCATTATTCCTGTTTCACTTACCACTGAGCATGCTCCCCTACCATTATCATCGCTTATCAGATCCTTCCTTCATAAAGAGAGCCCTTCATAAAGAGAGCAAAGTGACAACAAATACAAGGTGGCGGAGTGCTTGTTCCACTCAGAGGAAGTGCCCCGCATGTTCAGAGGACTAGCCACCCACCCTCCACCAGGTGGCACAAACTGCATATCACAGATATCCCAGCAAAGCAAGCTTACCAGCCCCTGGTGTGACATAGTCTATCCTAAAGTGAGAACAAAGGCAACAATAGCAAGAGCTAACTTGCTGAATCATAGTGCGTAGAGGAGACCTCAGCGACTTCCAAATATGCTGTGTTTAATTCTCACAGTGATCCTCGTAGGGAGGCACTGGAGTTATTCCCATTTGCCAAATCATGAAGACCAAGCCTAGAGAACCACAATAACTGTCCAAAGTTGTTACAAGCGACCAACTGAAGAAAGACTAATCTACTGATAGGCTACCACTTGGCAACATTTATCTTCCCTTCACTGTTCGTTGAGGTGTCATTTTATATTGTTTGTTTATTGCCAGAGGTAGGTCTGGCTCCAAGCTACCTGCGAGCTCAGAAGCCAGCGTCCTCTTGTGCTGCTCTAACTGCTCCCCAACTGTCCAGAACAAGTGCTGGGGGAGATACGTTATTGCTGAAGGCCCAAATGAGTAAATGAAGGTCTTCATTAATGTGGTGTTGGCTCTCAGCCTGCACAAAGGCGGCGGTGTGCCCACACTATGAATGAGTAGGCTCTATTAAGTTGCTTCAAAAAGACAAAATATAATTGATGAAAGAGTGTTTCATTTTCTGAACAGTCACATGTAATGAACTTAAGCATTAGGAAGATTGCAATTATGTGAGGGGGAAATTGAAGCAACTTCCAAATGAAGATTCATAAGCGCAAGAGACAAAGTACCAAAGACATTGTCTCCGGGTGGTCGGCAGGTGGGCAACAAGACAGTGGAGTTCAACTCCTAGCAACACTTCAGAGCCTCTCCTGTGGATGGCCTCATTCGTGAGCCATGCAACCACGCAACCAGGAGGCCTGAATAATCAAGCCTCGTGTGTTCCATAGTGCTGAACCAGCCATGGTCATATTGCTTTCTGACTCCACTTCCAAATATTTCAACAAACTAAAAAAATGTTCATAGTTCACTGTGTCATTAAACAATCAGCCTGTGGGTGTGTTGTTATGTCACTGGTGGGACTAGAGACAGATGTCTAGGGGGAAAGACAAGGAAGAAAAAGCATCTGCAATACTTCTTTTGCTTAAAACCTCCCCTCCTACCTGGTTTAAGGGCTTCTCCTGGCTTTGTCAAACGTTCCCATGAGAAGGCAAAAAGAATTTTTAAATAACGACTCTGGGACTTCAGCACCACGTTTGGCTGCAAAATTGAATTGCATTCAACTGAGTTGCTTAGCCTTGGAGTCGCTAAGGACCAAGTTGCCATTTGTGTGGGCAATTTCATTTTGCCTTCCAGGATAGCAGCTTGGGAGATGTTTCTCAAAACCACTGGAGCTCGCTCCTTGTACCTATGGACACTTCTGGATTTCCATGTCCCTCCCTCATTCACATGGCAAATTTGATGTACAAATTAAGCTGAGAGTTCATCTTATGTTTTTCACCCTTCACGTTTACAGGAAGCAAGGGTGGTTTGGGGACAGCTGAGTCATGCGTGCTGTAGGGAGAAGGGAGAATGTACTCCTGGGAATGCTGAAAGTGTGACACACAGCCGGATGGTCTGTTTTGCCCATCAATAGCCAGCCAATCTGAACATTTGTATAGCATTTTTAAAAAATGAGAGACAAGAGCATCCTTGACTTGGTAACATTTATTCAATATTCTTTGAAATTAGCAAGAATCGGAAGAAGCACATATCAATCAAATACAGCCACGAAAGTGTCCTGGATATAAATAAAGATGCACTAGGAGAATACTCAGTACTGAAGGAACCAGAACGCTGGTACATTACTAATTCTTAACAACAAACAACTCCGACATAAAGTTAATTTACTCACAATATAAAACCCCGGACTTCTTAAAGAAAATATAGATTCAATTCGATCACCGTTTGTGTCACGAGGCCCTTTCATGATGTATGTGTGTGAGGCCTGCTTTGATGACCGCCACGAAAATGACAGAAACAAACTTCAAAGAATGTTGCCACGAGGCTCCACCAAACGGTGCAGAAATAAGTTACTCACCCATGCACAGGAAAAGGCAAAGGCTAATTTCATTCGGGTTAGGAATAATAAATTAAACTAGCTTCTTTTTCACAAAACAGACATGTCAGACCTCCTCTGAAGTCACGGGTATACTGGTTAGGCATCGCAGTCTACAAGCGTCTCCTACCTCTACTCGCAAGCCGGCACTCAGCGTCACGGGGCAGCTTCGCCTCGGTGAGACTCACGTCACGACCCCCGACGGGAACCTGCTCTCGCGCCTACCGCGGAGAGACCTCACACTAGCTGAAGCGGACAGTTTAGAGAGTGGGAGGACATGAAAACGTCGTCTATGGGTTTCACAAATTCCGTGTTTAAAATATTTTTCTCAAACTAAAGGCTGCAGAAAATTAGTTCTTCAATATTCTACCGAAAACTCTTGAGCAGCTAACGTTTTAAATTTCTTAAGCTCTTTTATTTTCTTAAAAATATTGAAATGAGTGTAGGACCCCCATCGTTTTGAAAAATAATCCCCAAAAAGATTACAAATCTTTTGTTTTAATCAGTGTGACCAAAGGCTTGTCGTCCGGGCTGTAATCCTCGTAGGCAATGGGGGTCACGTCGTACATCGCAGGCCGGGATTTCTTTCCAAACCTGAAATCCCAGAAAGAGAGGGCTGTGGTTAGATAAATACTGGGTAGCAGTCTTACCAAGGCAGGCGGCGAGAGTGTCTTATAGTCGAGAGTCAAATGGAACTATAAAAAAAAAATGCTAAAAAAAATACATTCTCTAGTGAGGGCAGAAATTCAAGCCGTCTGATGTTAGCATTGAAAGAGTGTAAATATTAGTCTTCAGTGCAGGAGGCAAAAAATGAATTTCACAAAAACATAGAGCTCAAATTAATGTGGCTGCTTGGAGGTTAAATCTTGGCAAAGCAGTCAAGCATGACAGCTCTACAATAGGTTTTAAGAAAACGTGTATCGATTTGTCTTTTCCTTCTGAGACCCATAACTATTTGGAGAGACAAGTTTATTTTACATCCACTCTGGTGTCTGGAATACAGAGTGGCAGGCAGGCTTTCTGGACGGCAGATGGACATGTCTCCTTGAGAACTTTCTGGAGGACTTTGCAGGCTCAGGGGTCATCTGAGGGATGGTGGGAGGAGACAGCCTCCATGAAGGGGTGTTTGTCCAGACTGTGCAGCCTCCACCATCCCAGACCCACTTCCACTCATCCCCCACCATGCACACAAGTGATTGTTTTGCCTCTGAACACAAAGCCACTGTCCCAACAGATTTGTATATATCAAAATCCCCTTCAACAGCAGAACTGATGGCCAAAAGCCAGCATCGTCAGAATCCCACTTCAGGACTTCCTGCCAAGCCAGTCTTAAAATGGTGATTATTAAAGTAAAGCCAATTCAACTTCTGGGTGGTCTCTTCCCATTCAAGACCTCACCTTCCCTAGAGCCTTAGAGCACAAAATGATTCAAACAGTCTCCCGGACTAGCTGCTGTGTCTCTCTGCCACCTTCTAAACAACATTGTCAACAGTTTCAAGTCCAATCAAAACAGAAATTTTGAAATGGATTTAAAAAATTTTTAACGGTTGCTGAGATGGGGTCTCAGGCACAAAGAGGGGTATATTTACCATGACTCCCCTCCCTTGTTCCCCACCCCCACTTTCTCTGTCTTCGCAAGTCTACCTCCTCGTAGAATTTAGTGGGGAACAGGAAAAACATCACATTCTTCATAGGATCTTTTATACTGAAGCATTCATCGAGCCGTATTCCAATTCACTCAAGGCTTATTAGCCTTTAGGATCCCAAAGACAGCCCAATGGGAGGCACCAGTCAAAACACAGAGACCCGCCATTGCCAATGCAGTATCGAAAAGCTTCACTGAAGTTATTTGAAAAGAAAAGAAAAGAAAAAAAAAAGCCACTGTTGGGGGGGGGGATGTGAATTGGCCCAAACCCTGTGAAAAACGGTGTGGGGGAGGGGGGAGGGTCTTAAAATATTAAAAATGGATGTACCCTATGTTCCAGCAATCCCACTCTTAAGTATCTATCTAATGAGTACACAAACACTTATTTTAAAGGTAAGTGAACTCCTGTGTTCACTGCAGCACTCTTTATAAACCAAGTTGTGGAGATAACCTTCTGTGCCCAAGGCTGATTAGTGGATTAAGAGACTATCTGTATATGCACAGGAGTACTACACAGCTGTGAAAACTGATGCACTCTTGCCACTTGCAACATGGATGAAACTGGAGGGGATTCTGCTGAGCAAAATCAGTCTGAAGACGAAAGACGAATGGTGGATGATAGCATTCATATGTGGAATATCAAGAAACAAAACAAAGGAGCAGACAAAACTAAGTCAAACAAACCCTAGAAACATGGCTGCCAGAGGGGGAGTGAAGGGCTGGAAGCAGAAGGAGGAGGGCCCAACGGACTGTGGTGGCGCATTCAGGGTGCTTCAGTGGTGGGTGTGGTACAGTAACATACATCTGAAGGCATTGAGACCTAGATCCTGAATGGCGCAGTGTTGTAACCAATGCTCCCTCAATAAATTAGTACAGAAAAGATAATGTGTGGCTTTGGTGAAGGTCCAGCACTGTGCAGACAGGCAGTGGGGCCCCCGCATGGGGTGCCTTTCTCTAACTGAGTGAAGCTGGCATGTTATGAGACAAAACAAATCTTTGTCTCTGTTCAAAGAATTATAAGGAAGGGTTGCCTGGGGGCTGAGAGCACATTGGCAAGGCAGGTTTGGGGGTGACAGTGCCAGGTGCGCTGAGCAGAACAAGGCAAGGGCTGACCCACATGTCCACGCCAGCATGCAATGGCCACCAAGGGACAGGGGTGTGGGTTTAGACTGGTCAGTGTTTCGGGTTCCAAAGCAGAACACTGGGATCAAAGTCCCCCCGTTAAAACAGGACAGGTGTCCCCACCACTCTCGGGAAACCAGCCTCTGATGACTTCACGAGCGGCCGAGAAGCCGTCCAAGTGAATCCCTTAGGTGCGACACAGAAGTCTCCACTAGAATGCCGGGCATCATATGCTACCTCAGATGGTCTCATTCACAGAAGCACCACGGGGAAAACACACACACACGAACCCAGACAAGACGCTTCTCAAACCTCCCACGAACCCAGACAAGACGCTTCTCAAACCTCCCAGCCCCACCGAGTGGGGAGCGCTCACTTGGTGAAAAGTGGACATTTCTCAATCCTTAAATTTACAACACGACCTGTTTTCTGTCTCAGGACTGGGTGGGCATGAAGAGACAGGCTCACACTAGGGACGCCTCCTTAGACTCAGGCGGAACCGGAGGAGCTGGGTGTTTGTGAGATTGCTCTTGTTCTCAGTGACCACGCTGTTTTCCTTATCATATTGCTAAAAAAAAAAAGTTGGAAACCAAACAAGTAATGTAGACCAAAGGTTAGGAAACTACAGCTAATTATACACTAAGCCAATTATAGCCTGTTTTTAAAATAAAGTTGTATTGAACAGTTTCGCGTTCCTGAAGGTCTCACGCGACGAAGGCAGAGGGAAGTAGCTAAGACAGAGACCAGAGACGGGGCTAAAGTCTGACCACCCTGCAGGCCGGGGGTGAGGACCAGGGGAGGCCAGGAGCCCCACAGGGCCTCTCTCAAGGGTTCAGCATCAGAGAAGCACTGGCCAGATGGGGCCGCAGCGGGAGCCACGTCACTGGCCTTTCCAGTCCCGGGCAGGATGACAGCGGCGGGCACCTTATTCCACCAGAGACACCAACACGCTTCCCGTTCACGGTCTCCTGAAAGTCCACAGCTCAGCAGCACCACAAAGAATAGCAGGTGGTTCTGGCCTTGACGAAAGCCCAAACTGGGAGATGCTACTTGAGACACAGCCCGAGTCCTTTCACGGTTCACCCCTTTTGTTTCTTGGGGCCAGGCCCTCACAACTGAGCAGCCAACACGCCACCTTGACTCCAGGACCTGGAAAGTCCCGGCTGCCCTCCTGCCGCTTCGGGGCAAACCTGGCGCAGCTGACTCAGGACGAGAGCGGGGGCTCCTGCCCAGCCTGGCAGCAGCCGCCTCACTGCCAACAGCAGGGTCACCAGACACTTCCCAGTCGCGGTGACTGTCACAGGTGTGCCACGCTGGCCTGCACTCACAGGGATCCAGTGTCAGGGTAGCGGCGGGAGACAGAATGTGAAAGCGACAGTCCGCTGCGGGGAGCTACAGACCCGGGGATGTCAAAAGGGCCCCGGTTTTAAACAGGCCTCCAGGCTTTCCGGGAAAAGGGGCCTCCAGAGCTGCCCAAATCACAGCATGGTTCAGTGGACGTTGAGAAGGGAGCGGTCCCAGATATTTGGGGAGGCGCTGTATTAACTCCAGCGGTTTTATCTGCAGCCGCTGGGGCGGGCAGGGGCTCGGGTAGGAATTCTGCAGTAAAGATTTGTGATAAAATCAGCACCAAATTGGAACCAGGTTTGTAGAGGCTTTCAAGTTGATCCTTTTGTTCCAAGAATATTCAGTTAAATATCTTCCCAGTGGGCTATATAAGCAGGAAGCTCAAACGAATCTACCTTCATCGCTCTGGGGACTGAAATACAATACACTTCCTCTTGAATGCAATTGGAGCTTAGTCAGAGACTCCTCTGGTGCTGCAGGGAATCCGATTCCCTGGGTCTCCCACTCCATCCAGGACTTGAGCCACAGATTCCTCCCCCTGCTGGTGAGTGAAGCCCTCCAGGCACTGGGGGTGGGGGGGTGAGGGGGGGACAGTTCTGGAGCAGCAAAGGCACTTATCTCTTTTGACCTTCTTGACACTCCAAGCAATGCCTTCAGGACCTCGCACCCACTCCTGCAAGCTGGTCCCTTTAATCAGCAGGGCACTGGAATGCATCTGCCGCTTAGGTCAAAACAGCCTAGGCCAACGCCTACCCGAGATCAGCCATCTATTTCAGACTCCTATTTTAGTAAGTCTATGACAGGCCCGGATCGGTTAACGACGTCGAAAGGAAAGTGTGGGGGTGAGGGGCAGTGCTTCTAAACCCCATTGACTGAGCTTCTCTGCCATGCAGACAGAATTTGTGGATCCTTATGTCCTGATCAAACTAATATACAGCACCCCAATAAAGATGAAGCAGCGAATACTTTCCTCCAGCCTCTGTTGCAACACCCAGATCAGCCCATTTTTTACCCAACACACCGACCTCCTGAATTGTGCAATTAAATTGTTCCACCAACTGAAAGAAAAGGGCATCCTTTAGCTCAACACTGCTTTTGTTTTTATAATAGTATTCTTTGCAAAGGTCTACAAAATGTTAGATGAGCTGTATTTCTTGGTGTTCTAATAGACCTGGGAAGTAAACATGGTGCTATCTGTTTATAGAATCTTTTAGCATTTTTAATTTAATTTGCTTGCCATTGCTCCCTAAGGAGGTTGCTAGTTCTCTCCACAGTTGAGGGAACTGCACTGTAGGAGGTTAAATAGTGTCTTACAGTCAGGTAACAGAGGAGTGATGTCAACGACATGCCAGATGCCAAACTCAGGACACTTTGTATGATGTAGCACTAACTCCTTGTCTCTCAAGGAGGAGTTTCTCCAGGAAAAGGACACTATTTGACATACTATGAGCTCCAATGAGCAGAATGATGGCTGTTTGTTATTCTTTTAACAAGCCCTTAAGTCAAGTGGAATAATTGATATCCATGCTGATGATTTGAAGAGCAACTTAGCTAAAGACATTCCAAAAAAAAAAATCAAAACATGTTTCATATGCAAGGATTAAGAATCAAATATTTATAGCTCAGATAAACACAATTAAATGAATGGATATATTCAACAGGAAAAAGAGGTAACAGCAAATTAACAGGGATTTGCTTATAAAGAGACTGTTTAGACTCTGTCCCCCGACAGCACCTTGAGCCTGTGTTTGATCCCTTGAAACCCTCCTTGCATTGAAGGTCCTGTTCAGGGCTCCCAAGAAGGCGCACACCAAGCAAATGCCCTCCCCCGCCTGCCCCCTCCGCTGCGCCCACCTGGCGTGCCGGATGGACGCGATGGCGTCGCTGAACTCGCGGTCGATGCTGCGGCAGTTGTAGAGCTCCTCGTAGGCGGGCCTGGACGAGCCCTGGTACTCGATGCGACTGATGCGGCAGATGCCCACAATGAGGATGATCAGCATGAGGAGGAAGGCGACGCAGAGGGCCCCGATGATGACGTAGAGGGAGTGGCGGGG